ACAGGAATTGTGTGCATCTCTGTTAGAATCTCTAAACAAAGAACAACTCCACGTATATTCAGCGGTCATACATTCAGTTCATAACAACAAGGGCTGTCCATTCTTCGTACATGGGCACGGAGGTACAGGAAAGACATTCCTATACAACGCAATCACAGCAAAGCTCAGAAGTTTATCAAAGATTGTTGTTCTGGTTGCTTCTTCAGGAATTGTCGCGACTCTTCTGCCAAAGGCCACTACAGCACATTCAAGATTCAAAATACCTCTTACTCTGGACATGACGTCGACATGCCCAATAAAAAAAGGAACACAACTGGCTGAGCTGTTGAGAGAAGCTTCTTTGATAATTTGGGATGAAGCACCGATGACCCATCGCCAAGCTTTTGAAGCTGTTGATCGTAGTTTATGTGACATTATGAACATTCCATTGAGAGGGCAGCGTTATAGACCCTTTGGTGGTAAAATAGTGCTGTTTGGGGGTGATTTTCGACAGACTCTTCCGTTGATAACAGAGGTTGGTCGTGAAGAAACCGTGGATGGATCATTAACTCGATCCCAACTGTGGAAGTCTTTCACACTCTTGAGGCTACATAGAAATATGAGAATAAACGTATCTTTTCCTGGAGAAGAGCAGTTGCTTAATGGCTGCACATTCCCCGCCTGGGTACTAGCTTTGGGAGATGGGAGGCTCAAAGCAAAATCGTTCAAAAAAGATACCCCAACGGATTGGGTACAAATTCCCCCAATGTTTCTGATAGACCATGAAGACCCCTACTAAAGCCATTGTGGACGATGTTTATGATTCATTTGTTGAAAACTATCATCTCCTGACTTATCTTGCAAACAGAGCAATCGTCACTCCGACGAATGCAAAGGTATCTGAACTCAATGAATACATGTTACAGTTAGTTCCAGGAGATTCAAAAGCATATTATAGCTCGGACTCATTGTTGCAGTCAACAGAAACTGCTGATGCTTTTGATCATTGCTATCCTGTTGAATTCCCGAACACTCTAAAATTCAATGGAGTGCCTGACCACGAGCTGATGCTCAAAAATACCACTCCAGTGATGTTACTTCGAAACCTGAATCCTGCCCTTGCCCTGTGCAACGGGACGAGGATTATGATCACAATGTTGGGAAACGATATCATAAAAGGAAATATCATGGGTGGGGCTCACGACACGGATGAGGTGATCGTTCCAAGGATTGTGCTCAACATAGAGAACCCCAAGTGGCCATTCATATTGAAAAGACGCCAGTTTCCAGTTCGTCTGTGCTATGGAACGACGATCAACAAAAGTCAAGGTCAGACACTTGACAAAGTGGGAATTTACCTGCCTGAACCTGTCTTCAGCCACGGCCAGCTCTACGTGGCAGTCTCAAGAGTGAAATCGCCCAAGGGATTGCGCATCCTGATAGACAACCCAGAGGAAATCCCACATGATCACACAAGAAACATAGTATTCAGGGAAGCGTTTGCTGATATAATGACTGATTGAAACTTCTCTTTACATAGTGTGTTGTGTGTGATGGTGTTTTTGCTTTCTCTTCCATTCTGTTAGGGAAATGGGTGGTTCGCGTGCCTAAATTTTGCTCCAAAAAAATGGTCAGGTCGCCAAGAATCCCTGCCCAGTTATTTTGATAGTTCAAACATTCTGAGGGAATGTATTCCTATATATTTAAGGTGACCAGCCTCTGTTGCTCACAAATTTGTCTGCGGTAACACTATCTTAGGCTTTTTTTACCATGACTAAAGCTTTAGTAATTACAAAAGTCTTACTTCTTGAGTTATGAGTTTTTTATATGCCTGTGTTCTTTGTGTTCTTTGAATAGGGCTGCTGATACAGGAAAAGTGCAAGTCTTGAACGATCTGTGAGTAGACCACTCTAAAAAAAGTGGATAATCAAATAAAAACATCAGAAAACAGTTGTGTAGGTCCACTGGACCCAGAAAACGCGTAGCCCAACAGAGAAAAAATGGCCCAAACATTTGGTCCAATGCAAGACTCAACAAAGCCCATGCACTCAGGTACAAAACAGGTAGAAGATAGGCCCAGATAACAAACCCAACATTGATTCGGTTTATGCTACCCTCATAGTCAGTTCGTACTTTCGAAACCCTAAATTGTCTCAACAGGATCCAGAGGAAACCAGCATCCGCATCCTCGCTCGGGTCCTCCGCGAAAGCCCTATCCATCGGACCGCCAGACAATCACTGCCACAAAGGTAAATCCTCGCCTCCTCCTACGTCACCATCCTTACAGCTCCGAAAAATTACTGCTCATGGGTTTCTTCGTTGGTAAATCAGGGACCACACTTGACATGGGAACTTTGCACCAAAATCGGGAACCTACACGAGGTGATGCCATGGTCCCCACCGATCCTCAAGGTAAGAGAGTATGTTGCTGATCGATGGTCATGCAAACATTCTCGATTCCACTGTGTGCCCCAGTAAATTTACTTACCGATTTCGTAAATTGCAATGTCTTAATCTGTGTTGCAAATCCTCTTGCATCTTCCGAAACCTTTCGGGGTTTACGCTTGGGTGTCAAAGATCGTACTGTGGTCGCACGCCTTCTCAAGACATGGTTTGAATTCAGACCAGGACCCATATGGAGAAAGAGAACCATGCACATGCTTTGGTTGGACAAAGAAGGTTATGTATTAAATACCAAACGTCTTTGCAAGATCTCGGCAGAATGCATTGTTCAATAGAACAACGGTATGCATACTACTTTCAGTAGTTCAATTATTATCGACCCAATGATTACAGAAAATTCAGCCAGCTTCTCGCATGATGCTGGACCATCTCATTGCTCAAATGTTTCCCTTGCAGGCACGGTTGCCCGAAGGAATGGTTGAGGAAAACCACATTAGTGAGATGTGCAAAAAAATAAAGATCAACCGCCTGCATCGAATGGATACAGTTGTTGCTGTCCCTGCAAGAAGAACAGGACGGATTGTTCGCAGAGAGCTGCGACTGTTAATGACATCCGAACAGCTTATCTCCTATGTTCACGAGGAAATCAATAATCCACAATTTCCCATTGGCTCACACATCACTGATTGCTTTTCAATCGTGCCAACTCAAACAGATGCCTACGACTGCCATACAGGTACCATTTCATTTATCTAATTACAATAGGCTAACAAATGTTTGATTGATCTAACTAAATTTTTAAGTTTAGACATCACGGGATGCGTAAGGCGCCTCACACACCCAGAAACAATTCATGAAACCCTGAAAGAGTTCCTTTTGGTCATCCAAGATACATGGTATGTTTTCAAGAGTTCTTGAACGATTTGTTCTTCATGGAAGTGTACGAGTTAACATGTTAGTTATTACAAACAACGGAGCGAAGGCTGTTGTTCGTTACCGTGGCTATGACATAGGTGACTACTTAAAGGATGCATCAGCTGCTGAAGCTCACTTGCCTCTTATCACAACTGTGACTTCAGTGATGCGAGTGGCTCCTTCGACTAGCCATAAATATGCAATAGAGTTTGAATCCACGGCTGCCAGTCATCTCATTATAAGGACATACGCAAATGCCTTGAAAGACACTATGCACATGTATAATGTTTCCAAACATTGCCCACACATAAGTTGAGCAATAAATGTTGCCTCAGCAATGAGACAACGCTAACACAATTTGTTTCTACTCCAATGCAGTTTCCTTCAAAACCAAAAACCAGTTGCTTACATCAAGGCGGCCGCTGGAGAAAAGATAGGCTACCTGCGAACAACAAGACCTCCAAACAAAATGCTTGGTGAAATTAAGACAGAGCTTGCTTCGCAAACAAACTGCCACAATGTAATTCCCTACATCATTCTCTACACGACATACACATTAAACACTTTAAATTTTCACCCAACTGATATCCATAATATAAGTGCACTTTTTTTTCAGATCCTTGACACGCCAAAACACAACACCAAACTGCGACCAAGTGTAATCGCAATCCGGGAATGCAGTAACAGGCAAGTTCAATTATCAACCCGGGGTCTAGATCTACTGCTTACTTCGTGATTCTCTGTTATCTAGCAAACTAACTCGAGTGATTGTTGTTTAAAGCAAAAGCAGTAAGAAAGCAAGTAATAATTCGATTTTCAAAGTCAGGAAAGAGTCACTCGGGATTGAGTCCCCTTAGCCCCTTAGTTAGGTTCAATTGTAATTCCCCTGGGTTGATTCACTGTTGATTAGACTGCGGAAGTTCCGACAGTAGCTTGGAATCTCTTAAGCTGACCAAGCCCTCTCAGTCTAACTACCCGGCAGACGACTAGCCTTCACCGGGATAGAAAGCTGAGGCTATGAACACAGAACTCCACTACTGGAATTGAATTCCAGTACAAAGCAGTAAACTGGCTAACTCTCGTATAGCCAATCTCCTACTATCGAATGAAGAGGCTCTAACAACCTAATCAGATTCTATCTATCTCAGGTTGCAGCAGAAATTGAGAAAAGCTGGTCAGACTCCAATCAATTCAATAAACATGCATCATTCGATTAAAATCAAACAGTAATATCATCCCAAGTTATTACAATCAAATCCCTAACACAAGGAACTAGGGTTCTTCATACCCAAGTGAGAGAAGGGTTCTACTCCACAGAGAGAGAAGAGAAAACAGTAATCGGAGTAGTCATACTCATAATGATGAGGAAAATCTGCTCCGGGATGATGATTTCCACTCCTATGACAATCTCCAAGATCGATTCGGTGAAACCCAGCTCCAAGATAGCTTCTAGGATGTGTTCTTCGCACTTTCTCTCTCTAGGGCTCTGTTTTTGCTCTGAAAATCCCATTCTCCCACTTTTGGCTCGAAATTGGCTCAAAAACCAGAATTTCCCGACTCACACGGGCAGGTCACACGGCCGTGTGGCTCACCCAAGTGGTCGTGCGAGTCGAAACGCAGCGCATCAATTAGTCGATCTTCAGCCATCTCACACGGCCAGGGTTGCACGGCCGTGTGGATTTCCTGGGTAGCCCGTGCGTGGCCTCGGCAAAAATCACACGGCCACTTTGCTCACTGGCACGGCCGTGTGAAAGCCAGGGTTGCCCGTGTTTGCTCTCGCACAATCCCACACGGCCTGGCTTGTCACTTGCACGGCCGTGTGATTCCACGGTCTGCCCGTGTGGCTTCCTTGAACCCTCGCCATTCGTCCAATCTTCGTCCAATCGACCCCAAACTCGCTCCCAAGCCTCCATTCACGTACTAGGTCCTGAAATATCACAAACAAGCACAACCTAGCATGAAATCGGCCTAAAACACGAGAATCAACACCTCAAACGGTGTAAGAACAGGGGTAAAAACATGTGTAAATAACGGTCTATCAAACTCCCCCACACTGAACCGTTTGCTTGTCCCCAAGCAAACCAAGTCAGACACCAGGTAAGCTTACATATTTCAATCAACCAACATTGGGGACAAGTCATAAAGGCACAGAACACGTGAATCGTACTGGTTTTCAAACATCAACACATGAACAACCTCAATAGCAACCTGGACAACCACCACAAAGGACATTCGAGTGCAGCAACTCGAGTAAATGAAGAGTCTCCCTTCTGTTCACCAACCAACCTAGACTTGACTCAACCACTTACTCAAAACAGTCAACTCATGCATCCAACCCAAGACATCAGAACAGAGACCGAGCAATCTAGGTCCTCACCTGGGTACAAGAGTATATAGAATATGAAAATGAATCACTCACTCTCGACCAGTGGGGTCAGGACAATTTGATGCGAAAAATGCGCATTCTATTTCTCTCAATCCCTATCATCTCTTCACCACGATGGCAGCCTCTAAATGCTAGAGTTCACATATGGGGTGTCACCACTAACTAATCAGGAGGTCTTAGACACAGGTTCAAATGACTGGCTAGGGTCTTGGACATGGGGAAAAGGCCTTTTAAGTGGTGGAAGTATTCATAGCACAAGGTTCCACATTTCCAAATCCACACAATCACAGTCAAACAAACCGGTATTCCCTTTCTGCTATTCTGCAATAGTCAACATCTCAAGAGCACAAGAGCGAAGGAGGTATAAACGTCAGCATTTCCAAGCCAGACTGCTAAGAAACACTACTAAACGGGCATTATTCAGATTTTTGGTAGTGGCTCTCTTTTGCTTTCAATTTTTTTCTTTGTTTTTCTTTCATTTTCTTTCCATTTCTTAAGAGAGCCATCACTTCTTCACATATTTCAAACACCTGCCCAACTTTTAAGCACTACCTCCAACACTCACATAAACTTTAGCAGAAACAGCAGAGAATATGTAAAAACCACTCTGTGGAACCTTCTAAAAGATGCAACAAGGGTGATTTTTTCGTTGTAGACCAAAAGAAAGGATAACACAAGGCTCAAAGGGGCTGACTAGGGGATATGACACATCAGGACAGTCAGTTTTGGGCGTGGGCTAATCCTATGCCCCCATCATCTTAGCTAGTGACAACGTGAATGCTACACATCATGGAAAAGGGATCTATCGCACAAGAAAGAAACGAGTAGGCTCAAATCTCACATGGCTACCTATATGCTCTATCTCACATTCTGATACCCTGAACTAGATGCATAAACGACTGTCAAGAACAAGTATTCAGATCAAGTCACAGTTGGCAAGCAAACAGTTGAAAAACTGAACCCCTACATTGTTCTACTGCACATCTCAGTCCTCATCATAGGTTGTCCTAGTCACCAACAAGTTTTCATGCATTAATCCTAAAACCAATCAATTCATCCATCAAAACACCGTGCCAATATGATCAAACAGCGGTACTTGGAGCCCTCAAATCGTAAGATTCGGACAGCGGACTAGGCTCCAAACACCCAAATATATATTCCAACCGATACAAAGCACCCCCCACACTTAAGCACGACATTGCCCTCAATGGAGTAGAGGGAGAGATAAGGGGAACGATGTTACCGGATTGAAACATTGCTGGGGGACTGGACGTGGACCAGTCAGCGAGAAACAAACAGGAGAATGGACAGTTCTGCATGAATCGAACACCAAAAACACACTAGCACACTGTGCGTTAGGGATAAGTGTTAGCCCAGACGGCTACATCATAAACAAACCACAAAAGAAAAAGAAAAACAAAAACAAACGACACTAAGTTCAAGCTCCTCACACATGGAGCAAACACACAAAAGTCTAAAACGAAAAGCAAAACACACTGAGATGGGGTTGCCTCCCCACAAGCGCTTCTTTACCGTCTTTTAGCTGGACGCCAGTATGGTGGCCATGCACGCGACGAATGTGGCCAACAGCATTCGCCAGCTCGACTTGGCCATCCGGCAAGATGCAAGCGAGTGAATACTCGGATGGCCAAGGTGGGGCGGGATCAGCTCGTAGTGGTCTCCGGCTCTCTTTCGAGCAGGCTTAGCTGCCTGCAGTTTCGGCCGCCACTCCTCCTTGATCTGTACTTTTGGTGATGGAGTGGTCAGGAGTGGCGGCGAAGGTGTGGGAGGCGGGTCCTGCAAAATAGGCAACACAGAAGGATACACGACATACTCGTGCTCCTGGTGAGATACAGCATGCAGAGGTGACGAAGCAGGTAAAGTATTAGCAATTGAAAACGTGATTCGCTCCTCGCCATCCCTCAAAACTAAGGTCCCATCAAGCACATCTATGAGAGCCTTGGCGGTGGCCAGGAAAGGCCTTCCCAGTATAAGGGGCACTTCTGTGTCCTCATTGATGTCCAGGACAACAAAATCCACAGGATAATTGAATTTGCCAACCTTAACCAGAAGGTCTTCCACTATGCCCCTAGGATGCACTACGGATCGGTCAGCTAATTGAAGGGTCATCCTAGTAGCACGGGGTTCACCTAGGCCTAGTTTCTTGAACAATTTATATGGCATAACATTGATACTAGCACCTAAATCCGCCAAGGACCTCTCTACATGCAATTTATCAATAGAGCACGGGATAGTAAAACTACCTGGGTCCTTTTTCTTCTGCGGAAGCTTGTTCTGCAGAATAGCCGAGCACTCCTCGCTGAGCTCCACAGTGGCCAGCTCACTCAGCTTCTGCTTCTTCGAGAGAAGCTCTTTCAGAAACTTCGCATACTTAGGCATTTGTGATAGTGCCTCCAGGAAGGGCACTTGGACATTCAGCTTCTTAAGCATGGCCATGAAGTTTTCGAACTCTGCCTCCAGCCTGTCTCTATGCAACCGAGTAGGGAAGGGAAGTTTCGGGATATACTCCTTCACTACCGATTGCGGATTAGGTGCAGGCACCTCAACCTCCTTCTCTGCCTCTTCTTCAACCGCTGGAGATGCTAAGACAGGGGTTTCTCTCTCTTGTTCCCGAGCAGGTGGATCAACAGTCACCTTGCCACTCCTGGTCATGATGGCATTGCAGAGCTCATTCAGGGCTGGCGGATGAGGGATGGTCTGCCCGGGTAGAGTACCAGGAGCTCGTTGGGCCACTGCCTGAGCCACGCTCCCCAGCTGGGTCTGGATATCCTGCAAGACAGCCTGTGTGTTCCTCTGACCAGCTTCAAGAGCCAAGAATTTCCCCGAGGCCTTCTCCATGAACGGCTCAATAGTGTTGAATTTCTGAGCACTAGAACTGGCGAGAGAACCCACCAAGTCCCGCAGTTCAGCCAACTGATCGATCTGCACTGGGGCAGCAGGGGCTGCACCTGGCTGCTGGAAAGGTCGCGGCTGTGATTGAGCAGCATGCCCCGGCATGGGCTGGTAGAGAGACTGTTGCTGCTGGAATTGCCCCTGTCTGGGCTGATATGGTGGCCTCTGGAAACCCGATGGTCCCTGGGGGACTGGTGGTCTGGAATTTGCCTCACCCAGGAGAAGTTAGGATGTTGGCGCCACCCCTCATTGTAAGTGTTACTGTAGGGGGTCATTGCGCCTGACGTTGTTGATGAAGTTCACCTGCTCCTGGGGTGTGGTTGATTCCTTCATCGCCTGACAGTCCTCCACGGTGTGATGAGAGCTCTCACACCACTGGCAGTGCATCGCCTGCGGCTGTCCTGTACCTGCAATCAAACCAGAACGATCGATAGCTGAAACCAGCTTCGATACCACCTGCACCAAATCAGATGACTGGGTGCCTACAGCATGCACACCCCGTCCTGGTGCTCGTCTCGACCTCCTGGCAGTGCCCCAATCGTACCCGTTCTCCGCCATCTCCTCAAAAAGTTGATTCAGCTGTGGCGGGGTTTTAGTCAGCATGTTCCCGCCACAAACAGAATCAATCAGCTGCTTGTCCTCCGGGAAGAGGGCGTGATAGAAGGTGCCCACCTTGAATGCATCATTGAAACCATGATTGGGACACCTGAGAAAGAGACTGGTGTATCTCTCCCAAGCATCCCTGATGGTCTCATCCTCATCCTGAGCAAAATGTGTAATTTGCTTCTGCAGGTCAGCTGTCTTGGATGGAGGATGGTAGCGGGTGAGGAACTTGTCCGCCAGGTTGGCGAACGTGGTGATAGAGCCCGGAGGTTGAGTGTCTAGCCACTCCTTGGCCTGCCCCTCCAGAGTGAATGGGAAGTACCTCAGTTGGATGGCATCTGCTGGTAACTCATTGATCTTGATTCCATCGATGAGCTCGTGGAATCGCCTGAGATGTGATCGGGGGCACTCTCCCTCCTTACCACGGAACACCACTGAACAGCGCAGCATGGTGATCACTGAGGTGCTCACCTCAAAGTTGTTGGCTGGGACATGAGGGTGTTGAATGGGTGACCTCATGTCCGCAGCTCTAGCGGTCCAGTAGGATCCCATGGTCTGCTCATCTGGGTTGATCACATCGTGGTTCTGTGGATCAGCCATCTCTCCTTCTTCTTCTTCTTCTCCAATCTGCAGCTGTGATAGCGCCTTCTCCGCAGCCAGTCGCGCCTTTAGAGCCCGCTTGGAGTTCCTGCAAGTTCGTTCAAGCTCCTGGTCTAATGGTAGTAGTTCTCCCGACTGGCTACGGGTCATGCACTACCTGCACACAATCAGCAGAAGCAACCCGTGAAGGCACACAGGTGGAAGAGAAAAATGCAATAAAGAAAAAAATTAGAGTAACAAATTCTCACGTTTCCCCAATAACCTAGAGGGGTCCCCGGCAACGGCGCCAAAAACTTGACACGCCAAAACACAACACCAAACTACGACCAAGTGTAATCGCAGTCCGGGAATGCAGTAACATGCAAGTTTAATTATCAACCCGGGGTCTAGATCTACTGCTTACTCCGTGATTCTCTGTTATCTAGCAAACTAACTCGAGTGATTGTTGTTTAAAGCAAAAGCAGTAAGAAAGCAAGTAATAATTCGGTTTTCAAAGTCAGGAAAGAGTCACTCGGGATTGAGTCCCCCTAGCCCCTTAGTTAGGTTCAATTGTAATTCCCCTAGGTTGATTCACTGTTGAATAGACTGCGGAAGTTCCGACAGTAGCTTGGAATCTCTTAAGCTGACCAAGCCCTCTCAGTCTAACTACCCGGCAGACGACTAGCCTTCACCGGGATAGAAGGCTGAGGCTATGAACACAGAACTCCACTACTGGAATTGAATTCCAGTACAAAGCAGTAAACTGGCTAACTCTCGTATAGCCAATCTCCTACTATCGAATGAAGAGGCTCTAACAACCTAATCAGATTCTATCTATCTCAGGTTGCAGCCGAAATTGAGAAAAGCTAATCAGACTCCAATCAATTCAATAAACATGCATCATTCGATTAAAATCAAACAGTAATATCATCCCAAGTTATTACAATCAAATCCCTAACACAAGGAACTAGGGTTCTTCATACCCAAGTGAGAGAAGGGTTCTACTCCATAGAGAGAGATGAGAAAACAGTAATCGGAGTAGTCATACTCATAATGATGAGGAAAATCTGCTCCGGGATGATGATTTCCACTCCTATGACGATCTCCAAGCTCGATTCGGTGAAACCCAGCTCCAAGATAGCTTCTAGAATGTGTTCTTCGCACTTTCTCTCTCTAGGGCTCTGTTTTTGCTCTGAAAATCCCATTCTCCCACTTTTGGCTCGAAATTGGCTCAAAAACCAGAATTTCCCGACTCACACGGGCAGGCCACACGGCCGTGTGGCTCACCCAAGTGGTCGTGCGAGTCGAAACGCAGCGCATCAATTAGTCGATCTTCAGCCATCTCACACGGCCAAGGTTGCACGGCCGTGTGGATTTCCTGGGTAGCCCGTGCGTGGCCTCGGCAAAAATCACACGGCCACTTTGCTCACTGGCACGGCCGTGTGAAAGCCAGGGTTGCCCGTGTTTGCTCTCGCACAATCCCACACGGCCTGGCTTGTCACTTGCACGGCCGTGTGATTCCACGGTCTGCCCGTGTGGCTTCCTTGAACCCTTGCCATTCGTCCGATCTTCGTCCAATCGACCCCAAACTCGCTCCCAAGCCTCCATTCACGTACTAGGTCCTGAAATATCACAAACAAGCACAACCTAGCGTGAAATCGGCCTAAAACACGAGAATCAACACCTCAAACGGTGTAAGAACAGGGGTAAAAACATGTGTAAATAACGGTCTATCAATCCTCTACGGCTGCAAGTTTTATTTCACACAAGTCATCTATAGAAAATCCATCTGCAGGACTCAAGAAAGACCGAGGTAAACTTTCATGATACCCGTGTCATTTATTCTCTGCCTGATCCAGATATTTGCTACAAAGCTAATGGTTACCTCTTTGTCACAAGTTTGCACTACCAACTAGAAGCAAAATGTCGCTGCGATTCAGAAGAAGCTGACGTTGTGCTGGACCACGAGGCAACTCTGTCTTTACTCTGTGTGTCACCAAGCAAGTACATGATGCTGAACAAGGAGGAGATCAAGGATTTAATCAAGAAAAACCGTGGCAGGACATTTGCAGGAGAGCTATACATTGCCTGGCAAGATCTGAAGTGCCAGAATTCACCTTCGGCGCCACACATTAGAGTTGCCACGCTGTGGAATGAATCAGCCTTTTACAAATGATTCCACACACTTGCGCCAGTCCATTCACATACCAGTTTATCTAACTGTGAAGGACTTATCAAACAATTTATGCTTTTATGGTTTTGCAGTGTGGAATCTCTTTTGCAATTCGAACCACCTCATTTTGTGACTCCTATGGTCATTTTGTAAAGTACAGAATGCCAACCTCTATGTAACTAACATGGATGCAGAATATTACATTCTGCGGCCATTGCTGAATCAGCATGTAGTACCATTTTGCGTAGTTAAGTTGGTGTGGTCGCCATGACACTGCTACCCAGTAATGAACATATTCCAGTTTAGCTATTTCCATGTGTTTGTTCTTACAGTCTTCACATTTCGTTAACAAATAATGGCAAAATTAAACTTGACCCGCGGTAGAGCGCGGGCTAATTACTAGTGTTTCCTAATTTATGCTATGGCCATCCGTTCCAAAGTATGATTACGGTGGAAGAATTCCAAGAATACAGTAAAAATTAAACATAATTCTCATAATACATAAGATTTATAAAATTTTCCTAAAGTACCCAAGTTTCAAAGGGTTCGAGTCCCATAAACTCAAACAACAAGCAAGTTCGACGATGAAGAACTCGAACTAGAACCACATCGAGTTCCTAAAACTCGATCATCAGTAGTTCGATTTTGGAAAAATCGATCAAGGTAGATGATAGCATCGTATTTGCACGTGTTTTCACTCTGGTTTCCTGTCCATTTTAGCTCGAATTGATTGTTCTTTGGCCTATTTTACGCTAGGTTGTGTTGTTTTGTCGTATTTCAGGTCCTAGCAAGTAAAGAGGTGCATAGGCGCAAGTTTCGGGTCATTTGGAGGTCGGGTGGCGATTCACAGGACAAATTACGGACAGCCCCTGCCAAATTACGACCGTAATTGGTCAGGGCATGCCCATAAAACCAATGCCGAGCCTATTTTCCCAAGAATTCCTCTCGGCAGTAAAATTACGGGCAAGCATCCACCAAATTACGACCGTAATTAATGAAATACTGGCGTTAATTGTGAAATTACGGGCGTAACTCCTCCTCCATCAGAGTAAAGTGAAACGCGCGTTTTGGGCGATTTACGGGCAGGCCGTGATTACGGCCATAATTCTGCACGAATTTCTCCCAGAATCGGGTTTTTGGAGGCAGATTCGAGCTAAGGAAGAGGATTCGAGTTTTTAGAGCAAAAACAGAGTTTTAGAGAGAGAAAGAGCGAAGAACAAACCCTAGGAGCTATTTGGAGTGGATTTCTCACCATTGAAGCCCAGATTGCGTCCCCAGGAGTGAAGATTGACATCCCAGAGCAGATTTTCCTCATCTTTATGAGTATGACTACTCTGATTTCTGTTTTCCTTTCTCTCTCTATGGAGTAGAACCCTTCTCTCACTTGGGTATGAAGAACCCTAGTTCCTTGTGTTAGGGATTCGATTGTAATGACTTAGGATGATTATACTGTTTGGTTTTAATCGAATGATGCATGTTTATTGAATTGATTGAAGTCTGATCAGCTTTTCTTGATTTCTGCTGCAACCTGAGATAGATAGAATCTGATTAGGTTGTTAGAGCCTCTTCATTCGATAGCAGGAGATTGGTTATATGAGAGTTAGCCAGCTTACTACTTTGTACTGGAATTCAATTCCAGTAGTGGAGTTCTGTGCTTATTGCTTCAGCTTTCTATCCCGGTGAAGACTAGTCGTCTGCCGGGTAGTTAAACTGAGAGACCTTGGTCAACTTTAGAGATTCCAAGCTACTGTCGGATCTTTCGCAGTCTAATCAACAGTAAATCAACCCAGGGTAATTACAATTGAACCTAACTAAGGAGCTAGGGGGACTCATTCCCGAGTGACTCTTTCCTGCTTTAGAAAACCGAATCATTTCCTGCTTTCTTACTGCTTTTGCTTTAAACACAGATCACTCGACTTAGTTGGCTAGATGATAGATAATCATGGAGTAAGCAGTAGATCTAGACCCCGGGTTGAGAATAAAACTTGCCTGTTACTGCATTCCCAGACTGCGATTACACTTGGTCACAGTTTGGTGTTGTGTTTTGGCGTGTCAAGTTTTTGGCGCCGTTGCCGGGGAACCTCTAGGTTATTGGGGAAACGTGAGAATTTGTTACTCTAGTTTTTTCTTTATTTCATTTTTCTCTTCCACCTGTGTGCCTTCACGGGTTGCTTCTGCTGATTGTGTGCAGGTAGTGCATGACCCGTAGCCAGTCGGGAGATCTACTACCATTAGACCAGGAGCTTGAACGAACCTGCAGGAACTTTAAGCGGGCTCTAAAGGCGCGACTGGCTGCGTAGGAGGCGCTAGCACAGCTGCAGATCACTGACAAAGAGGAGATGGACGAACCACAGAACCATGATTTGATCAATCCAGAGGAGCAGACCATGGGATCCTACTGGACCGCTAGAGCTGCGGACATGAGGTCACCCATTCAACACCCTCATGTCCCAGCCAACAATTTTGAGGTGAGCACCTCACTAATCACCATGCTGCGCAGTTCAGTGGTGTTCCGTGGTAAGGAGGGGGAGTGCCCCCGATCACATCTCAGGCGATTCCACAAGCTCATCGATGGAATCAAGATCAATGGGTAGGGCTGGTAATCGGTCGGTATCCGGTATACCGGATACCGAATAGTCGGTATCCGGTATACCGGATAACATTGTGTACCCACCGAATACCGATACCGAATGTTATCCGGTATACCGGATACCGAATACTCGGTATCCTGTATTAATACCGGTATACCGAATACCGATTAATGCATTGAGATTATACCATTAGAATTCGAGATAAAGAAACTGACGATAGCATTGGAGATTAACTCATTGGAATCCAATTGAAAGTTATTGTGAATACTTGGAACTTGAAGCATTGGAACTGACTGACGCTCAAAGCATCCCCTTGGTGATAAGGAGAATTTGAGTTTAGGCAAAGGATTAGATAGTAGTGGTGGCGGCGGTTGGTGGAAAGGGATTTGCGGCCGATAAAGAAAGGGCGGGATGAATGTCCTGGGGGAAGACCGCCGGGCGTGCTGTGGTGGAGCTGGAATTCGCCTCGGCGGGCTGGAGAAGAAGAGTTGAAGTCGAACAGAGGAAAGGTGGAGGGGCCGATGTGCTGGGCTGCGTAGATGTTGATTTAATTTTAGGGTTTACACGCCCCCCCCCCACCTCCCAATTTCAAACGCTGTCGTTTCCTTTTTTTATTTTTGTTATTCGGTATTCGGTATACCGATTTACCGTCGGTATATGACTGGTCGATATTCGGTATACCGTTTGGCCAAGAAGTGCAGCCGAATACCGATACCGACGGTATTCGGTATACCGAATACCGATTATAATCGGTTTGATACCCGGTATACCGAATACCGGTTTACCGAATACCAGCCCTATCAATGGGGGTGAACAAATCACCTTCTCTGTTTCTGATAATATGAAACACCTCCATCTCCATGATGATCTAGATTACTCTGATGTTGTTGCTGATTTTGAGACCGCACTCGCCATCACGAGTACGGGTACTGATGATTTCCTTGAGCGTTGTCTTTTGCTAGGGGAACAGGCATCACAGGATGTGCAGCTGGAGGAGCAGCTTGCGGAGCTGGACGAGGCTGCGATCGAGGGGCGAGAGATACCATTCAAGCCGATCCCCATCTCGCCCCGGATCGCTACATCCTTGGAGGAGCCACCAGAGTTGGAGCTTAAACCCCTCCCATCTCACCTGGAGTATGCATTTCTCCGGGAGGGGAATAAGCTCCCGGTTATTATTAGCTCGGATCTAACACCCGAGCAGAAGAGCAGGCTGGTGGCTCTGCTGCAGAAGTATGCCCGGGCCATGGCATGGAAGATCACAGACATCAGAGGCATTAGCCCATCCTTCTGCTCCCACAGAATTTTGATGGAGGATGAGGTTAAGCCAGTCAGGCAGCCACAATGGAGATTGTCTCCTAACTTGGAGGCAGTGGTCCGGGCAGAGATTGTGAAGCTCATGGATGCAGGGATCATCTTTGCTATATCTGATAGCAAGTGGGTCAGCCCCACTCAGGTGGTCCCGAAGAAAGGCGGGATGACTGTGGTCCCAAATGAGAAGAAGGAGTTGATCCCGATGCAGACCGTGACCGGCTGGAGAGTCTGCATCGATTACCGGCGCCTGAACGACGCCACCAGGAAATATCATTTTCCCCTACCTTTCATTGATCAGATGCTGGAAAGGTTGGCTGGCCATGAGTTTTATTGCTTCCTGGATGGCATGTCTGCTTACTTCCAGATTCCTATTGCACCGGAGGATCAGGCGAAGACCACATTCACTTGCCCCTTCGGTACCTTTGCTTACTGGAGGATTCCATTTGGGCTGTGTAATGCACCAGCGACCTTCCAGAGATGCATGTTGGCGATCTTCGACCGACTGGTTGGAGAGATCATGGAAGTCTTCATGGATGACTTCTCGGTATATGGAGACTCCTTCACTCACTGTCTCCATAACCTGGAACTCGTTCTGAAGAGGTGCGAGGAGACTAATTTGGCACTCAGCTGGGAGAAGTGCCATTTTATGGTTCGTGAGGGT